AAATGTTCAGCTCCACATTTTGATGAATGTCAGACAAAGACTTACTGAGTAAAGCTGAGATATTTTGTGTCACCCTGTATATTCACCAGACCTCGCCTCCTCAGATTTTCACCTTTTCAGGTCACTTCAGAACTGTCTGAATGGCCTGGAGTTCTTTTCTTTGGAGACTCTCAAACAGTACTTCCAAAATTTCTTTATGAATAAACCTAATGACTTTTTTAAGATAAGATAAATGATCCAGTTTCTGGGGAGATAACAAAAAGCTCATAAAACAAAATGATGCTTATGTGATGCAATGAAAATTTTTTGTTTTAATATTGCTTCATTTATATTTGTCTTCAAAGGACCGTAGGATTTTCCAGATGACCAAATATATATGTATCTTCTAAAAAACATCAATTCATACCGAGTACTTGTGTTATGTTACATTTCGGCTCAGGAATAAAACTAACCATTTCATGACAAAATTACAAATATGGGAAGAGTAGGAAATTATTTCTACCCTCATGTTTCAAAGTAATCCATAATGTTATTGACTGCTATTAAAGATATCAAGAATATTTTTGTTTTCAGTAGTTTTATGAGTTATATAATTAACCTTCATTGATGAAAATATTCATGCTTTAGCATTTTTTAATTTAAAAAAAATGCAAAAATTACAAAATCCAACCTTTTATATCTCGCCTCCATCCTTATACTTTTAGGAAAGTTTCACACTCATTATAAAAAGCACAATTAAAAAAGTGTGACCTTTCATATGAAAAAAATTGACCGAGATCTGACTACATTGCATATGATAGTTAAATTACATTTTAGAAAGTTATAAATCATAGTCTATTAAATTTCATAGCTTCATTAAGAATTAACGGAAAAGAAGAGTGAAATGTAATTGAAATAGATCATATTTCACTGTTTTGAAAGGAAATATAGTAGAGCTATATTACTGTAATGCAGCGTTTCTTAACCTTCTGGCTAATGTGTACTCCATTTTACAATGATTATTTTTTTCAATTTCTCAATAGAAATATTAAAAAAATTCACACAAATAGGTTGAGCAAAAAGGCAATACAAATTTAATAGCTTTATTTGAAATGACTTTATTATTATTTTTTGGGGGTTCAGCTAAAAGTTAACAAGTGTGTTATTTTTGAAATTTTCAGTTAGAGTTCGATCACAGGAAATTTCTGTCAATTGTTCTTTTTTCTTCATGAGATAAAATTTCAGGTACATTTGAACAGATTCCTAATCCAATTTTCTTTTTCATAATCCTCAGGAAAATACATGTTGACATTATTTATCACTGAAAAACGATGATTTTTTAATGTCGGATGCTAATTCTTCTTTTATTTTCTGTTAGAGAACTTTCTAAAAGTGGTAAAAAGCTTAAAATATTATTATCCAATTCTTTGATTATTAGCTCGAGTTTTTTTATCGTTGCATTTATTTTATCTCTAAGGATAAACAAATTAACACTTTGTCGCTGTAATCCTAAATTTAATTCATTTAACTTTCCAAAAATGTAAAGTACTTATGTTAAACTCACCAACCATAATTCACTATATAAACATTTCTGCAATTCGGATTTTGAATCACAAAGAAAATTTGAATTTGTGATTGAAGTTCAGAAAGACAATTTAAAACTTTGCATCTGGATAACCATCTTATTTCAGAATGTAACAAAGCGTTTCATGTTCACTGCCCATGTCTTGGCATAAAATTATAAATATTCTAGAATTCAAAGCTAGGCTTTTAATAAAATTAACAATTTTCACAGCTTGATTCAAAATGATTTTCAGGTTTTCATTAATTGTTTTGCCCACTAAACCTTCACAATGAATGGAGCAGTGAGTAAATTTTGTTTCAAGTGGGACTTTCTTTATTTGAGAAATTGCACCGGAATGTTTTCCTATTAAAGCCTGAGCTATGTCGCTGCACGTGGCAATGCAAATATTCCAAGGAACATCATTTTCAGACATAAAATTGTCAATAACTTTGAAAATTTCACTTGCAGTTGCTCAATTATGAAGAGATTCACAAAATAAATACTCTTTGGCTGTTTATCTTCTTCAAAATGTTTGTAAACTAATATTTAAACAAAGTTTGTTATATCAGTACTTTGATCCAATTGCAAAGTGAAATACTCACTATGTTTTAGTTTTTGAATAATTGTTTCTTTTATAGAATTTGCTATTTCATGAATTTGTCGATTTACTGTATCAGTTGATAACAGAATATTATTAAGTTCATTAGCTGCTTTTTCATCGAATAATGTTCAGAACCACATCTTTAGCTGCTAGTAATACTATAAGGTTTTCTCCAATAGTGTGAGCCTGCCCAGTTTTGGCTTACTGGGTAACTAGCTTCCAAAGCTTTTTCACTTGAAGTAACAAAACCTTTCATTACTTGTTTACTATTTTTTAACTCTGATAATTTCCTCTTAAAATATTCTTTAGATTTATCCTTTAAATTGGCATGCATGGATTCAAGATGTCTTAAGAAACGATGGTTTTATACTTTGATTGGATAATAGTTTGCTGCAAACAACTCATTGAGTTTGAAGCCCCATTTCATCTCCATTCCAAGTAAACCCAAATGATAATAAATTCAAATGATAAATAAGTTTCATTTTGTTTTCTATAAACAATTTTTCTTTTCTTTTCTTTTCAATATTCTTATTGCTAGTGGATTGTCCTGGATCTATCACGTGTGAATCATCACTTTTCCGTGAAGTCAATTCTAGCCATTTTTTTCATTTTGAAAATCTAGGTTTGTTTTATTATTTTTTCATAAATATTTAGATTCACAATATACAGTCAAAAGTCATTAATTCGGCCACCCATAATCCGGACCTCAAAGCTAAAAACTTTCTGAGCATGCGGCACGTTGACACATGCGCATAGGCATTTACACGTGCGCGTAAGACCTTTACGACTGCGCATTTGCGTGTGCGCAAGCGCAGAATACGTTTTCATATGCGCGTTTAATCTATAATGGACGGTATAAGCTAAAATTATCTAATTATCTATTTCAGTTGATGTTGATGATTGCGTTGTTCCTTAATCTTCGAATTGGATCCAGCTTATTATTTTTTGCAGACTGTAAGAGCAATTTTATAAAAATAAACTTGAACTTTCGATTATGCAAATAGAATTTCCGATGCTGGAGCTCCCAAAGGATCTACAAAACGAAAGTATGTTTCGATGTCCATCAAACAAAAAGTGGAATTGCTGCAAAAAATGGATAAAGACATGAAGAAGGTGACAGAGAGGTTAGTGAAAATGAAAAAATTTCGATTGACAAGTTAGTCGGTATTCTCGGCACAGCAATTACGGGACTTGAACAGCGGAACTTTGTAACTGAACAAGAAATTATGTTTGTTTATGGAATTAAAGAGAAAGTATTATCACATAAAACGAAGCAACTTAAACAACTTACATTGAAAGAAATGTTTAATAAAGTAAACAAATAAATATTAAGCTTTTTTTTTTTTCTGTAAATTTTGATACCCTTTAGAAATTAATTGTTCTTGATTTCATAAATTTCATATTTTTAATTTTAGAATTTCTGCATGCCATCTTACGAGATTTAAACTGATGCTCTATAATCCGGAATCGCCGAAGTCCCGACTAGTCCGGATTAACGACTTTTGACTGTATTAAGAGTTCTTCAAAAACAAACGACAATATTCTCAAATCACCTAGAAAAGTAATGAATACAAAGAAACAAGAAGGCAAAATACCTGCTCTTGGAGAGAGCATATAAACTTAAAAAAATTATTCTCATTGAAAATAGAACAGTATGAGACAGGACATGGTGGCGACATAAAATGCAGACATGCTAATAAATCGATGAACTCTAAAAGAATTAAAATTAATGAGATACTATTAACTTTTCATAAGAACGTATTTTTATTTTCGGTACTTACGTATTATCGCAACCAGGTTGGCGCGATTTGTAAGTTTGAGTAAAAAAGTATGAATAGAAAGAAAATGTACATTTATTAATTACAGATAATTTTTAATACAGTTTTTTATATTATTTTGTTTTAAAATATAAAATAGCAATTAAACCCTTCCGGTTTTGAATTTGAATAAGTTGCAGAATTATTTTTTTGGCGGAAATCTTTTGGCTATTGCTTTTAGCACTGATGGAAACCGCTGTCACAAATGAAATTCAGCTACTTTCAAACCAATTTCCGGTTCTCACACCCAAATAATGATTGCACTCTTCGACGTTACATTTCCAGATTTGCTTTCCAAAATACAGTTTCATTTTATGAGAATTTTTACAAGTACGTTCGTTCGGTATAATTCCATAACCAGTAAGAAAAATAATTTCTTTACGAAAAACTACGTATAACACGTAGGGTTGTCGTAAGTAGGGTCATCAAATTTGGCGATTGTAGGTTCGCCAAATTTGGCGATTTATGCGAATTTTGGCCAGGTTGTGTTAATACATAAGTACCTTATTTTCTATTAAATACATCATCCATTTCTATTACTCCTTTCAAAAACCTCATTTATTACAAATTTTGTTATGTCTACGGCTAAAAGAAGGGATTATTTTGCTGGGTCTAGGAATTAAGTCTATGAGCAGTTCTTGACTTTGAAGAAAGCTCAGATCACATAAATTCAGGAATGTTAGAGAAAAACGTAAACAGGATGTTGAAGTATTTAATTTTTGAATTTAATAGTTAAAAATACTTTGTTTCTTTGCATACCACCTATTTTTCTCTTGCATCACTGGTTGAGAATCACTGCTATGATGTATTTCATAAGGAAATGCTTGACTACTTTTATATAATCATTCATATTTTTTAAAGCAATGTTGTATTAAATATTTTAAATATATTTCATATTTATTATACTATCCAATTAATATAAATTTTGGTATTTGAATGAAAGTTATTTTGACTTTGTATAAGAGAAAAGGAGGGAAATATGCATTTAACTTTTCTCAGTTGATGTGGTAAAATTTATTTTTCTTCCTTTGTTCTTTAGGTTATTTCCTCTGATGTGTTGCTTGAAGAAGATATATTGATTTTACATAATGTAAGATTTATTTCTAAAATATTTACTTAGTATCAAATAAAATTATGCAAATCACAGTGAAGTTACATTATAAGTCACAATGGAGAATTTTTTATGCTACCTCAAGTGTTGAGTGCAGCTGTTCAAGATGACCTTGAATTATTTTAAATGTATTTGTAACTAATCAGGTGACAATTTGTTTTGTCCTTTGTTTCAAAGATTCATGTTTTACGTATAGTATTTGTCTTATCTAATAGTTTGGGGGAAAATATTAAATTAACAAATACTTGAAAAAGAAATCAAACTAGTATCCTGCCATGATTTTAGTGTTTGTATGCATGCAAAAGGTGAATCAAAATAAAGTTTCTGAATGTTGTTTACTTTCATTATAAGGTTTTCTTATACAAGTTGAACTTCAAAGAAATATTATATGACCTTGTAGAAAATATTGATTAAAATTATATTCAATATATACTGCATCATATGAAAATGTTTGCTATTTACTAGGGGAGAGATTATTTATATTCTTGCTGTGGAAAAGCATTCATCCCTCTTCCTGTGGAATACACTAGCAATGCTTTAAATGGGAAACCATCGGCAAGAGGCATTTTGTTGAATTTTGAATCAGTTTTAGGACTTATTGATAAAGTAATGTACCTTTTACTTTTTATTCTTTTTCATATCCTTCTGTAAACAATCATAATATTTCAGTTTAATGTCCATTCTTAAACCATTTGTCTTTTTTAATAAATTTATAACATATAAATTACATGAAATATGTATGCCAAATATAAATTAATTATTTCAATCTGTTGAATACAATTAAAAAATATTCTTTTGCCCAAAGTGCTGAAAAAGTTAGTACAATTCTTAGCAAATTCAGAAACTAAAATAACACTTTTTTTCTCTAGTAGTAATCTTTTAAGATGTTTTGACTACAAATTAAGTGAGTTGCCTTTAGTGACCTGCTTGAATAAAAAGAAGGCTAACAAAATATGAGGAAAAATTTATTACCACATCAGACTTAATTAGAACAGCCCTTTAAATTCTTAACTTTAATTGCATATATTCCCTCTGGAATGCTCCATATTGCAACATGTTTTTCCTGCACTAACCATGGTATGAATCTTTTACTCGGTTGCTGCTCATGAATAAGATAAAGACTTTCTGAGCTTATATAAATACTGCTGCAGTTATAAAATGTAAAATGTGTGTATAGAAATTGTGGGGTGCATTTAGCACTTCTAGTGTTGTATGAATTTAAGTTAAAATGTATTTCTAAATAATTGTTCCTGTACAAAATAAAAACGATGTTTTGAACATCAAGCCAATTGTGATTTTTGCTCCAGTCAGATCTACGTAGTACTTTTTCTTGGCCGTGACTAAACAATGAATTAGTTTTATCTTCTGCAAAAACTACAGCATCACGTATATATACAGGGTGATTAAAAAATATGTAAAAAATGTAAAGGTGGGTAAAAAGGACCAAAGTAATCGGATTTTGCAATGGAATGTGTGTGCAAAGATGGGGTTCGAATCCAACAAATGGGCTAGCTGCATGAGTGTTTTCATGGTTTTCTCCATGCGTAACATGTATATGAGCTAGTTTGCCTTAGAAATTCCTCCACAAGGGCATCTCTCCCCTTAGACAGATATCCCTCAAGGATTTGCCTTAATCACATAAAGCAAGAAAACCAAGTGTATGCAGAAATGATACATTGCAGTGGCACAGTCAAGGAGATGTGGAGATGTTGAATAATAAGCAAACACATTTCTAGGCAATTAATTATCAATATTTCAATCCAATTTTGAAATGTCCTTAACTTTGGACTACATCATGACCAGGATTCTTCATTAAAGGTTTTTTGAAACTTTTCACAGAGTATCACAATTATAAAAAATTTTTATACCTATTATTTATTCTAAGACGCATGGAAAAATACTTCCTATTAAAAAAATATCCATTGTTACATTTTTTTTTTTATCGATGAGGTTGTGGCTAAAATGAAACAGCTCCTCAAATGAGGTACAGAGAACAGTTCCCAAACGTTTCCTTTGAAAAGCTGCTTTGTTTTCATCCACAGTCACAAAGATAAAATGCATGTTAGTGAACTCTGTGCTTATGTAGCAATGCATACCATTGAAATTCACACAGGGATGATGGTTAAACCTATTTCTGTATTTACCTATATGTGCCTCTAATATTGCACAAGGGTACTTAGGATGTCATTTAGGACCAATTACATGAGGCAATAGTAACTAAAGCTCCCTAGTGAGGAGAAAGCTAGGATTGAAATAGGAATGACCAGTTGTCACTAAGCATGGAGTAATTTAGAAATTTTTAGGAACGTCATGAGCTAATTTTTTTTTGTTTTGTTTTTGGCCCTGAAACGAAAAACTTCTAGCACAGAAAAAAATTTTAGATTACATCACAAGTTGAAAATGTAGTAAAATTATGGATGATTTAAAAACAGTAGTACACTAGAATAAATGAACATAAAAACTAAGTACATACAATACAAAAAAAAAAAAAAAAAAAAAAAAAAAAAAAAAAAAAAAATAAAAGTTAAGTTATTAAAAGAAGGCACAAAAAATGAAAAAGGAATCATAAAAAGTAAAATGAGGAGAAAAGCAGTTCACATACATACAACTAAGACAGTTTATGTTTGGAAGTTATTGTCATTTAGGAGGTGTATAGCAAGTGGTCTCTGTTTTCTATGTTCAATTAATACTTTGTAGTGCAATGCATTAAACAGTGCCAACTGTCTGACACTTTGTTTTAAAACTAATAGTTTATTTGGGTTATAAATTGCTCAAGAAGCTGTATCCTAAGTTCATCATGGAGGAGCTGATTTCTGATTAAATAATGTGCATTTATGATAAAGTGAAAAAAAAAAAAATATTGAACTGTTTACAGTTTTGCAAAATCTTAACTGCTGACAGTCATGCAGACTGACAGACATAACACGGTATTGTACTTACTGTAGAAATACATATGATCTATCTTTAAATATATATGAGCTATTTATGATGAGAATGATTTCCTGCAATAAGTAGACTCCCCAGCCTCTGAGCATTAGAGTCACTGAACACTGATAGTTTTACCTGGGTTTGATTCCAGGCAAAGGGTCTGACTGACTGGGTGTTTTTATGGTTTACCCTATGTAAACTATGGATAGTACCAGTTTCCATTAAAACGTCTTCCATAAAGGCATATCTTCCCTTAAACACATAGCCCTAGTGTGCTTTGTCATTATCAAATAAACAAAACAAAAATCCATCTTGTAATAGGTAGAAGATAGTTAATAACTTTCTGAAATTTACTGCAAACATGATTTAATACATGAATGCTGTATCCGTGTTGACTTATCATTAAGGATAATGTAAGTAACGTGCATCGATTATACATGATATTTCATCTCCAAACAAATAAAGGTTCCTTTTAATTGGAAGTAGTTGCTTCTTCTTATGGATAATGAAAATTGTGATTTTGGGGCATTTATATAAATTTTTCAGTTATAGCACTAGTTTTCAATACACAGAGCAAAGTGCTTAGCATATGATTAATATTAATTTAGAAGTCAAACAACAATGTAACTTAGCTTTTATTACTTCATTCCATTTTGTATTGTATATACTGTACATAGTTTTTATCTTCGTTTATTCTAGTATATTACTGTTTTTAAATCATCCATATTTTTACTACATTTTCAATTTGTGATGTAATCTAAAAGTTCTATTTGGGCTAGAACTTTCTATAAAATTCATGTTTACAGACTTCATTGGTCTTGCAATGTTATCTGTGTAATTGGCTAGTAAAGATTGGTAGGTTTTTGGCTTCATAATCTGCTACACGAAATCTGGCCAAGTAACGACACCTCAGGTACTTCTTCTTTAATAGGTCTAACATTTGTGTAATCATTTTCTCAGGAAGCAGTGAAATAATCTGTTTGAAATTAATGACCAGATGAACATAACTGATGATTTATTCCAGCAGACTGCTTTTTTCTAACACTCAACAGCACTCCCTACCATCTCAGTATACTATTTTTTGCATACATGTTCCACAACAAAATCTACCTATTTCAGTACTCCCTATCAGCTTTTACATTTTTGCAAGATATTTTGTCTCTATATTAATTTCAACTTGCAATAATCTCTTAAGTCTTCATTATAATTTAGTTATTTATGTTTTCTTTCCTAAAATCTTTCTAAACTGCATTATTTAAAAATTAATCATGTTATATGATCCTTGTGCAATGCTAATTTTAATTACCTAATGTTTCCCTCTAATAATAATTTCAAATTTAAGAATTAAAACTTAATATCGTATCAAAATAAAGCTAAAACAAAACTAAATCATTGTGAATGAGGATTGCATTTTGTATACATCACATTATTTCTCTTGCTTCACTACTACCAACTTGCTGCTCCTTCTTTCTTCAGATTCATTTAAAAACTTAAAAAGTACTACCAATGGTAGTTCTTCAAGAACAGGTACTTTTTTTTTTTTTTTTTTCTATTAAGTTATTTGTAGCAGCATGCTGACAATAAAAGAAATGTTCAGCTGGATGACTTCTACTATTATTATGCTTCAACATCTAAATCATCATGTTTTGTTTCAGGAGGCATTAGCAAATTGTCACTAATGAGAGAAGGAATGTGATGGGTCCAAGATGGAATCCCCATTCAAAATATAGTTTCATTTTGCGTTAGTTTTATTTTAAATGTTAATATTAAGTTTGGATTCCAAGATTTGAAATATTGCTGACTCAAGTGCTATGTAAATATCTGTGTCATTAGAATTGTGCAAGAATTACATAACATGCATTAATTGTGAACTGATACAGTTTGGAGCAATTTATTATAACCAGTAACTTCACAATAGTCTATGACAGAAAAGGGAAATAACCAAATTAAGGGTACCTTAACTCTCCATTTTAATTTGTGTATTTCCTCTTATTTTCTAGAAGTAGTAATTGTTTGTTATAAACTCCTCTGAACTACATCATTTTAAAATTAATAGCCATTTGACTTTTACATAAAGTTCATGATGCTGATAACTGACATAAGGCTTCAGCCATTAATAAATTTTCAAGCTTATTATCATCCAGTCCATATAAAGCAAACTGAAATTAATATTATAAATCATAACCCTGCTGCCTGCTGCTGTTCTTCTTACCTCAACACATCAAAATTGAGGAAGTTCTAGAACAAGTGCACATATTGTGCCAATTTAATTGAGTTAACTGAGTATCAACCAAAATAAGTTTTCATTCACGATTACAAATTTCTTCTTTATGTATCTACTATACCACGAACTTGCCTAAATTATTACAGTGCTTAGGTAAACAAAGGATGATGGATGCCTGGTGACCATCTCTTTTTTAGCATAATTCTCCATCATATTAGAACAATATTCTATTACATCATTTTATTACATTTTACAAGTATATATATCCCATATTCATAGCATTATAGAAGAAAGAGAAAATATAGATTGTATCTTAATTTAATGCAAGCAGGCATGGAAATTTTCCAAAAAAGGTAATGGTGATAAAGCTGAAAGGTTTTTGTGGTCAGGATCTGTTTCTTGACTTTTCACTGGGGAAAAACAATCAGTTGCTCAAAAATATAGTGAATGCATTTCGTTATGCTTTCAACCAAAAGTTGACTAGAAGTGTGGAATGGGATTTGCAGATAGTCTGGTCTACATTTTATGAGGTGATCCACTGAATGTTTTGTTTGTATGTTTATAAAGTTCAGCTTGTTAAATAAGTAAAATCAAATGACAAACCAAAACAGAAAAAGTTTGTTCTGCAGACTTTTTCTGTTTTGGCTTAGATCAGTAATTTTGAATGTTATTGCTATTAACACTAATTTTTTAGCACTAGTGTGCTTTTTAAAGAACAGAGTGTTTCATGTCAAAAAGGAAAATTAACAGGTATAAAGTTTTAAATATGAGGGAGTGAAAATTGCTGCTTTCATATGGAATATATGTATTTCAACCTGAAGATACATTTCTAGTGTGCTTTGATATAAAGTTCTGCCACTGACCTTTTTTCTTTTTTTCGTGGAAAGCAATATTGATGCATTTACTGCACAATACTTAAAAACTTTATCTTTCCACAGTTTCAGCATTTGCAGCTGTACATCTCATTTTTAAACTGTCACACTAGCATTTTAGGTCTGTATCTCTTATTGTTTTTCCTAATGAGAAACTGGATATGGTGATCTCACTGGATATTTCTGACTTGTTATAATCATTAGATCTAACCCCAGTGGATTTTTTTCTTTCAGAGCCTTTTCAGTCCCAAGGAGCATTAGCCCAGAAGGGCTATTAATCATGAAACGGCAGTTTGCATCAAATAAAAAAAAAAAAAAAAAAAAAAAAAAAAACATTACACCACTTTCCAAATTGTTGCCACCAAATATTACTGACTTGTATTATTATATTTAAAGAAATTAAGTAATAAGAAATCTGCATCAATGTATATATGTTTCTTGTACTGTGAAAAAACAACAGTATCTAGAGATATCAAATTTTGAATAACATAGTCCTCCACTCGAATATTAGCATCTAGAAGCCCAAATTTGGAATTTGCTTATTATCTATTTCATGTTTGATAAACTTTAACAAATTTTTTATTAACAAACTCAATGGTTTCAAAGCAAGTAGTGACAACACACTGTATGGAATAAAATATTTTTATCTCCAGCACGCAAGGCTGTCTATTGGAAATTCTAAAGATATGCTGTTTTTAAAATTTTTAAGCCGAAATTCTCTCAAAATGTGTATATATGTGTGAATGAAAAAAATGCCCTTTTGGGTATAATATAAAAGCTGAAAGCTTTCAATTTTTTTTTTTTTTTTTCAATCTTGGGCCAAATTTTGGCTATTGTCTGTTGATCAGCCCAATCAACGCTTGAAACAAGCAAAAATTTATCATCTTCTGCATAATTACTGTTTTTGGAGTCTTTAAAATTGAGCAAGGCAGTTGCAGAGATAGTTGTCAGTCGTGTCAACCAGGCCACATAACAGGCACACTGATGAATCTGCTAGACTCATGCAATAAGAAGTATGTGAAAATCAGGGCTGTGTGAAGGAAGTAGTTTATGCAATTACAGTGGATTGCCTGCACACTGAGAAAGATTGCATTTTTGCTGCTCTGCGCTACATTTTCAATATAAACTCAGAGATTGTTCCTTCTCACTTTTAAAGTTTAATACTATTGTGTGCAAATTTTAAATGCAGTAGATAGATTTATACTGTATAATAAAAACTTTTAAACTATTTTTTCTTGTTTTTCACAGTGTAAAATCATAATGCACAAATTTACACCACAGTAGTAATTTGAAGTTAGGGCAATCCAGTGTGGAGTAATTTGAAGTTAGAGTGGTCCAATGTGGATGCCCTGTATTATCTTTAAATTATAGTTTTATTCATTCTTTATTTTAGTTGTCTGAAGAAAGCCCTCATGGAGTATGGGTTTGCAGTACAGACATGATGATTCATCAAGGATTAGGAAGTAGGCTTTTACTATGTGTGTGCATATATGTAGTATACATTTAAATTATGCAATATGCAGTGTAATAACTGTAATGTTGCTTACTGATTTGATAATTGTATAATCACTATTCCTTTAATATTATTAAATTTTCATATCGTTTATAATTTTATTTAAAAAAATAGTATTTTTTAATATTTCAGTCTGTGAGAGTTGTAGAGTCATTAGGTTATTTGAAACAGGAAATGTGAAAGATAACAGCTGTTCTTTTTAATATTGTTTATATTCTTATTTAAAAAATAGTTTTCTAAAATATCAATCTATGGCACTTGTAGAATCATTAGGTTATCTGAAGCAGGAGATGTGAAAAATGAGCAATGCTCTTGTGGGGACTCGAACTCGGACCTCTCGAAATGTGCGTCCAGTGTGCTACTATTATACCATGAAAGCATGCTGGAAGAAGGGAGCATGCTAAATACCGTTAGTACTCCTCTTTTAGAGAGTGACTGGGGTCGGGGCTGATCGTCAAATACTGGTGGTGATGAATTATTGTCCGCCACCTTTTAGTTGAGCGCGGTGTTAAAAAATGAGTGGTATTCTTGTCTAGCTCAAACCTGGACCTCTGGAAATACACATCGAGTGTGCTACCATTACACCATGAAGGCATGCTGGAAACAGGGAGAAATTTAACATGCAAACTTGTATTATTAATTTATTTGATTTCAATTTATTTTTGGTACCATTTTAAGAGTTAATTAAAAAAACCTCAGCACTGTTCTCCATTTATGTAATATTAAAGAAAAAAAAAAAAAAAAAAAGGGGGGGGGAAGAAGTTCCCAAGTAAAACTGAAATATGATTCACAAAATAAATTCTTGAAAATAATAAATATGTCTATTTTTTTACAATGCTCATGTGATTTATTACCAAATAATGATAATTTTAATCATTTTTGTGTTTTTAATGAAAAAAAATATTTATAGGATAATATGTTAATTGATTACATTGTTGATTTTACAAAAGAATGCTTAATTTTATCAGTATGCATTCTGTTGAATATAAGCTAATTTATTAGTTGAAATTTTAATTCTGTAAATTTTCTTTCTGATTATCAGCACCTGTTTCCAAACAGTTGCCAACCTTCATAAATAATATTTGCCAAAGTAAGACACAAAAGACAGCAGAAATTTTCAAAAATGGCCACACAATAAGAATTACATAAAACAACAAGCAATCAACAAAATTAAATTGTTGGAAACATCCATAATAAAATACGTTTTGCAAAAAAATCCCCCCCACACTGTTTTTCCTCATGTACATTGCTAAAAAAAAAAAAAAAAAAAAAAAAATGGGGCGGTGCTGTATCTCCCGTTCTACTAGGCCGATTGACAAAATTCAAACTGCGTTTTTCATGTCTCGAAAGCACGACTTAGGATATATATTAGATTTATATATAGCACTATTCTAACATAGGTATTTTGACACAAAATCGGACTTTTTCTGAAATAACATACCAATTTTTTTCCATATTTCGATTCTACGACTCAAATTATGCCAAGTTTTGTAAAAATCGTACGAGTAGTTTTTAAAATATTAGCTCTCAAAATTCTAGCTCCTCAATGTTAATTGAATTTGGCAAATATTTATTAATATCTCTTTTTTTTATTAAACTTTTTTGATGTTTCCTTTCATATTTCGAAATTTAGGTTCATTCCAAATAAAATTCACCCATTTTTTGTGTTTTATTTTTTAAATTTCTATTTTTAAATAATTTTTATAAATTTTTCGAAAAAAATTTTGAATTATAACCTATAAAATTTTTACCATCATCTTAAAGTAGGTGTAATTCTAGGCATACCTGCAAAAAATGAGACTTTTTTATTCAAAATTTTCTAAGATATACACGAATTTACATATTTTCGCATTTTGAAACTTGGCATCTTTTTCTTGAGCGATAATAACGCCAAATGTGGTTTATGGATTTTTGTTACAGTGAATTGCCACAGCTATTTTAAACCTTAAATTTCAAATAAAATTTTACGGAGAATTAATTATATGAAATTTTTTCCCTCGATGATGCGTAATAAATATTTATTAATACTATATGAAAAGCTATTTTTTAAAAATTTTAGATGGTATTATTCAAATTTTTTACTATTTTTTTAATTTCTCTCTTTCTTTTTTTTTTCTTAAAAAATATTTGTAAGAGTAAGTTTTTATCTTTGGCGTTTTATCGTCTGCTACTTTAACTTCATTTAAATCGAATTTTCTAAAACTGAGAACTTTCGCTTGATGTTTATTTGAATTTTATGAAAATATTTTATGACATTAACTGCATAATTTATTTCGAAACAAGTTGTTGCTTATGAAATGGCTGAAAGAGCGGCTGATACTATCATCCATATTTTTAAAGCACAGTATATTTTATATAAACATAAGATTTAGAATAATCATTTTTATAAAGGTCAAAATATGATATAAACATACAACCCTCTAGAGACCAAATTAATGGAAGTTCAATGGTTATGTAGAAATAATCTACAGCTACTTAATGGCTGGATAAGTCAGCAGGTTCTATGGACAAGTAAGAATAATTATATAAACGACACTCAACATTCTGGATTCAATTAACAACGAGGGTACGATGTTTATTAAATGAATTTAAGAAGTTTTTAAACATAAAAAATCCACTCATTTTTTTATCCTAAAATGTATTTTTATGCGTAGCGTATTTTCATTATATCCTTAAAATTCTATTTTAGAATGTAACTGTCAAGAACTGAATTCTAATCATCAGTAGTATAATAATTAATTTTTACAGTTATTAATAAATCCTTCTTATAAAGTAATTGCAAATATTTCAAAAAAACTTTCTGTCTGAATGCAAATATTTTTCTATGCAAATATTTCTAATTTTGTATTAATCAAGACTGCACACGATATTATTTATTTACACTTCAATTCTTACCGTCAGCTGTAGTAGAAGTTACAAATCAATTATATTTAATTAAGGAATGACCATCTAAGTTTAGAAACAGCATATCATAACAGCAATTCAATTATTGATGCCGTATCTTTCATGTTACTCCCGATTCGCAAGCTACATGATTTTTAATGTGTATTCGGGTTTTGCTAGTAACTTCACTTGGAAATCGCGCTCAAACTAGGTTAGTTGGTTATTTGAACATAGAAAGAACATTTAGCTATTTGGTTAAGATGTTTTCATAGAGAATCTTTGTAAAGAGAACCTAGAAAACTATGAAAACCAACCATGCAGCGTGGGTTAGACTTCGCGACAAACAATTAGTATTTAACAATCTTCAAATGCTAGGCAACTGATGAGGCTCCAATTAAATCTCCAATTTAATATTTTATTTGTAAATATTTAAAATATTATTGTATTCTTAGACACAAAAGCAGAATTTAAGTTTTTTTAACTCATTAGTAAACTACAAGCCATAGTGCAAATGAATATTTAATATCTTTGGCAATAATTGTATTCACTTAATGTTCTTGGAATATGAGCTAAAGAAGGAATGTTTTCGGAAGATTAAAGAAGTGTTTAAATCCAGGTTTATTATATATTAGGTTTGTCTTACAAGCTCAAGTATCAAAACGATTCTGCAATTGCCCGAGTATTTGACTTGTAAATGGCTGTGAATTAAGCAGATGACTTTTAATCTTACGTTATTCAGTCAGAAAACGTATTCCAAATGTTTTGTATTGCATGACAATGCATCTTTTCATTATTCAATAACCAATCGGAGAACCGCTTGTGTTCCGAAAATAAGTATGTGTACTCAATCGTCCTGCATGTTCTTCAAATTTGTCTTCTTGTGATTTTTTTTCTTTTCCCAAAACTAAAGTTGCCTCTGAAAGGAAAATTTTTTGACATTGAAGAGACAAAAGAAGTATCACATCTACTTTAGAGGCATGTCAAAAACAGATCTCTACAAACCTTCTCTTCCATTACATGTTGTGCAGTCAGACAAAAAGTTGGATCAGCGTAAATTCTATAATCTATTTTTATTAACATATAGTGAATATATACTAAACCATTTACTTTAGCTTCAGTAATTCGGAATTTTTGACGAAAATTCCGAATTAACGAATTAACTGTCGGAACTAGGATTAGAAGATAAGTCAAATTGAATATTTCGATAATACAATAAATTCAAGGTCGTAGTTTCAATATTTTATTCAGAGGGAGGGGAAATTTTTTCAGTTTGCTCCATTATCCTAAGTATATTTGCTTGGATTCTTTATTTTTTCCATATAAGTGAAAATCTTACGCATGGTATACATATAACGCTTAGCTTCAAATTAAAGTTTAATAATATACAGGGTGGTTATAATTAAAGTTCCACTTTGAAACGGTCATAAAAGGAAAACTACAGGATATCAAACTTAGTAACCGTGCAAAGGTGGTCATGGGAATTTATTTTCCCCGAAAAAAAAGAAAGTTCGAAACCTCACCACCAGGAGGGAAATGGCGTTGTATGCAACATTGTTAAACGAAATATGGGTCGGAATCTAACTTAACCTTTTGTTGCATGGGTTTAGTGTGTTGTATACCCTTAAGAAACTTTGAAGTAAGCATATTACCATTTAAAGGCGTTAAATTCGATAAAAGTCTAGTGCGCCATCCTTGTAAGTGAAATTCGTCCTTGAAAACCATGAATTAGCAATTAGAAAATGTGAGATCGTAAATCACTCGCACAAGTGTGTACAATCTGGAAATCGTTTTCTTACAGATCGCTAATTTGTACTTTTTGATGCCTGAATTTGGCCTAAAACATGAAGATACTGATTCAAAACGCTTTTAATCGATTTGGGCCAATGAAATCCCTCATGTTATCTACCTAGTTCCATTGCATTCTCCTACTGCATTCGATGGCATAGCAGTCATTCCACACCGTTTGGTGTGAAATGACAGCTAGTTTCATAACTAAACAATTTTTCTCTGAAGAGCAGTAGACAGCTGGACCACTGTGATTGCAGCTCGCTTAAAGTCAATGTTAAA